TCACTTTCATGATGCCTTTGTGCTGTTGGTGTCTTTATCAGGTATTGCTGCTGGCCAGGAGCTGAAGAGTCCTTTTACAACTGGACACCTCTTGGGCAAGTCCTGGGGTTATACTGGATGGAGAGGGCTTACTGTCCTTGGGACTTTGGGGGATTCCCAGAACAGCATATGGTGAAGTGCTTGGGCTCTGGGTCTGCCAGAAATGGGTTCAAATCCCAGCTTTGCTATATACTCACTAAATTTGAGCAATGTCCTTAACCTCACCAAGCCTCAACTGAGTCAGGGTGCAGGGATGAGCCCTGGATTGGTTCAGACCTTGGCTGGAAGTGACAAACACTTGAGGAAGTAAAATGATAAAATATCTGTATTCACTTCAGAATAATGGGGGGAAAGCAAGTCGGAGGGGGTCGAGGGGAAATACAGTTAGCCAGAAGGCTAGGTGATGAGTTTACACAGAGGTGTATTATACCATGTTCTCTACCTCTGGTTCTGGGTGACCTCACCTGTGTATGTTTGATGAAAATCTCCCTAATGAAAAGTAAAATAATAATAACAATAACAATGAAAACTTAAAGAACAACAACAAAATTATGTCCACTGCACTCTCTCTCAGCTAAAACAGAACCTCTAGTTCCCAGGCGTTACTGTTTTGAAATCTTCTCAATTGAGAGCAGCCAAGGTGAGACTCCGCATAAACTCCATCTCTGACTAGGTATGTGACCTTGAGCTCGTATCCTTCCCTTGCTGAGCCTCAGTTTCCTCATCTATAAAGTGGAGGTAAAGATTCTAATGACCTCATGGAATTGTTGTGAAGTTTAAATGAGATAATTAATATAGGATAATGCAGCTGGATACAGTCCATTACAGAATGAGAAGGTCTGCCTGAACTTTGCAGTCACTCTGAGAACGACTAGGTCCCTAGCCACACTGAGTGAGGAACTCTAAGCAAATGCGTACAGAAAAGGCCATCAGATGGTATCTCAGGGACAGGTCTCACCTTCTGAGTAACTTTTACCCTTTTCCAAAGTACAGGTGGTTCATCCACTAGAAGGGATTTTTTCATCTACCTTTCCTTACAGCTTAAAGATCACCCATCACAAAGACCCCAGGGTCACTCAGTGTCACCACCAGAGATACAGATGGGAGCAGGGACTGAATGGTGGGCCAAGGCTTCTGCTGGCCTTGTCACTGGTTTCCAGAACTTAGTCTCCGTTTCTCCATCTGTGTCAGGGGCTGGTAAAGAGATGGACAGTGCTTGATAAGGGGTAAGCCCTCAGAAATAATCAGTGGATGAGAGTGAATAAATGTATGAATGTGTGGGGACCACTTCACTATGACAGACACGGTGACCTGCTGGAACCTCCAGGATGGCGGTGGGAGCTCTCAGGATTGGGGAGTGGCCGTGACACCTGGGCCAACTCCTCTGGGATTGGGAAAGAAAGAACACAACGGTTAGAAGCTAGAGCAGGTGGAGCAGCGCAGAGGGCATGGTTCGCAGCAGGACAGGAGCAAGGAGACTCTGGGACACCGCTCCAAAGCCGAGCGAAGGTGGAGGCGCGGGGTTCCAGGATGACCACCCAGCTGGCCTGCGCCCTGGCCAAGGTTCCGGGACTCCTCTGCTCCGTCGGACTCCGCAGCGCCGCCTGGCGGACACGCCGCGCTCGGCTCGGGGATCAGCGGCCACAGACCGGTGTCCGGGATCCCTCAGCAGTCGAAGAGAAAGCCGCAGAGAGCCCTGGCGCGCGGCGGACAGAGGCGTTTGTTCCCCGAGGGCGCTGGCACCTCGGCCTCAACCCTCAGCACACATTGGCACCCTGTCTCCTCTAACCCGCGCCCAGGGTGACTTAGCTCTGTCAAACACGTCGGGGGATGAATTCTGCCCCCAGCTCTGGGATTTTGCTGCCACTGAGTAGTTTCTTCAGAAAGGAGGTCTCATTAAAATTTTAAGGCGTTTGGTTTTGATTTTTGTTAATGAAATACCAAGAGTGGGCACAAAGGCACAAACGTGCCCAGTTCCTCTCCCTGCTGGTCCCAGACCTGAAATTCTAGGGCTGGGGAATTTCTAGATCCATCTTCGCCCTAGCGGGTTTGGGCGTACGAGGCTTGATGGCCCAAGGACCCCTGTTTGAAGACGCGAGGCAAAGAAGGGCGAAGCGCATGGAGCGCGTGGCTGGTGTGGGTGAGCGGGTGAGCAAGGGCCTGGCTTTCCCGTCCCAAGCCGTGGGGTACAAGTTGATCGCGACTCGGGCCGCACGGCCTCTTCGAACGTCCTCCCCTCGCACTTTGCAGGAGAGGTGGTCTCTGTCCGAGAGCCTGGGGGTGACAAGCCTCTCCACAGGCCGGGGTTCTTGATGAGCTAAGGCCCAGCCAGGCCCAACCGAGCCTCACTTCGCCGGACCAGAGTAGGAGCTGCGCTGCGGCGTCCCCGGACACCGCCCGCCGGGGTCCTCCCCGGGCGCCCGCTCCTGTTTCCGGAGTCGGGGAGTCCAGGCTGGAGGTCCGGAGGCGCTGGAGGCTGCCCTCCTCTGGGTGTCGGCGTCGGAGCCGGCGTCTCCAGTAAGTCCTCTCCAGGCGGAGGCCTGGGGCTCCGCTGCGTCCCGGAGGTCACCGGGGCTGCTTTGCGTGCAACCCGGGAAAAGGCCCCGCAACCGTGAGGCCGACGCTGGGAGGAGGTGAAAATTTCAAAGTCACCAACCTCTGAGCAAATGGCGGCGGGAGCGGCGCGGTGGACCGACCGAGGCCCGAGGCCGAGGACGGCCTCTGCGCGGCAGTGAGCCTCCCTCCCGAGGCAGCAGGAGTTGGGCGCCGAGGAAGGTCGGTGGCTGGGAGAGCCTAGAGCGGCCTGACCCCGGGGAGAGGGCAGATCGGGGTGCGCGCTCGGCGACGCGACTCTGTGGTCCGGAGATCCCAAGAAAGGCGCGCTCTGGGCCCCGAGCTCCCGCGGACCTGGCGGGCGAGCGCCCAAACAGCCGCAAGACCAGAGTCACGCCCAGACCTGGAGTGTGAGCTTGTGTGTGTGAGAGCGGGGAGCGGGGGCGGGGGGGCATGCCCCGAACAAGGCCCCCCACCAAATGATTAGGGCTCTTCTCTGCGTGGTTCCACTGGTGCTTCAGGCAACTCAGTCCCGCCGCTCCAAATGGGAAGGAGAAGGCAGCGGTGCGCACGGCGGGGATCCGCGGCGAGACGGAGGGTCCCACCGCCGCTTTGCGGAGCGCAGCTCGGGGCCCAGAGGCGCCGTCGGCGCCCACCTGGTGGCCCCAGCGCGGCCGAGAATGAGTGCCAGGACCCTCCCGGGGTCGAATTTAAAGGGGCTTCCGGGTCCCGAGCTCCGGCGCGCTCTCCTGCGGCGCGGACTGGGGTAGAGCGCCGGCTGCAGAGAAATCGGGACGCGGAAGAGCAGCCGCGGCGCCGGCCTGCCGCGGGTCCCGGCTCCAGAGAGAGGAAGGACCCCGGGGAGGCTGGGGCGGGGGGAGGGGGCGTCGGAGGGGTCGGCCGGCGGCCACGCGGGTCCTCGGCAGCCAGGGCAAGCAAAGGAGAGCGAACTCACTTTACCCCGAGAGATAAGAGGGCTCCGGCGCGCTCTCCCAAGGCCTGGGAAACAGGTTCCCCAGCGTCCGGTCCCCTAGTCTGTTCCGGCCGCGGGCCCGGGACGGGGTGATGCTTGGAAAGCCAAGCGTGGAACCGCGGGCCGCAGCACCTCCCCCGGGCAGGGGCCCGGAGGGCGAGCGCGGGCCTGCGCTGCTCTCTGCTTAAAACGAAATCCAAACTCCCCAAAACCTCAAGAGGAAAATTTCAAAAATTATTATTCTTTCACTTTTAATAAACAGGCTGCTGAGAGAGAAATTAAAAACGAAATGAGCGGCAGCCCAGAGTACTATCTTTTCAAATTGTGAAATATCTCCTTGAAAAATATTTTCGCGAAGACCAACCCCACTACGGGCCGGCCCTTCCGAAGCCTTCGCTGCTCGCGATCGTCCCAACAGAACAATCGGAAGTGCGGCCGCGGCCCCGGGAGGGAGTGGGCGCCCGGCCCGGGACCCACTGCAGTGGCCGTGCTCCTCTTTCTCTTCAACCAAAAAAATAAAAAAGATAAGAAGAAGAAGTAAAACCTTTTAATACATCAAATATACGGAATTTTAATCTTTAAAGCGATACATTGTCTATTATTTTAGTACATGACGTAAACCTTACTTGTCCCCTTCTCAGCGGGTGGACTTAAAAATTAAAAATAGTTAAGTGTTCCTTTTAAAGAACAAAATAAGGCAAATGAGGTTTTGGAATAGAATTGTTTTTCCTTTTTTTTTGTTTTCTTCCAGAATACATACAAAAAAATACCCATTCTCTTCCGATGGTATACACCTTAAAAATAATTGCAATTTGAAATCAGAGCTGACAAATTGTGACTTGTTTTGTTTTTCATTTTTTGTAACAAACATGCATGTAAATTGTATTTCAATCAGACATTAAATAAGAACGTACAATACAATCATAGCAATTTTAAAGTAACATTAAAGAGAAGACCTCTAGTTCTGTGGCGGTTTTGTATTTATTTATAATCTACAGGGACGGGAGGGTTTGTTTTCCATTTTTACCCTCAAGTTTTAATTCCACCCCCCCCTTCCATTTTATCTACGGAGCTCAAACTAAATAATGCACTTTAGAACCACGGGTCCGCTTGGAGCTAACATAAATAAATACCAGTGTCCACCGATGCAGTCCTCAGATGAACACTTTTTCAATTACTTTTTCCTTCTTTTTCTATAAAAAGTCAAATGATATTTTTTTTCAACTTTTATAAAGTTTGGGCAGGGAGGTGAGGTGGGGGCAGGGGGAGTCTCCCACCGGGTCTCGGTCGCTGTTTCGAGTAGATAGATACGGTAAATATATTTTCCTTTCCTGGCCCGGGTCATCCCCACTCGCGGGTGACAGTAGCTTCTCCCTGTTCCCGCCCCTCCCTCGGCTCCTCCCCTCCCCCCAGCTCCTTTCTTTCCCTTGTTCGCCCTCTCGACCCTCCCTCACTGATACCCCAGCGCCGAGGCGGTGGTCAGTCTCTGTCCGTAGAGGGCGTAGGGGGAGTAGTAGGGTCCGGTGGCTGCAGGCACCGGCACCGGAGCGCCGGGCGTGGGGAGCGGGCTCTTGGAGTAGGGGTGGTAGCGGCTGCTGAGTCCCAGCGCGTGGTGGGGGCTGCGCAGCGCCAGCGTCCCGGGGCTTCCCGGAGCGCCCGACGTGGGGATGTGCATGTGGCAAGCCATAGCGGCCGCTGCGGCGCTGGCCAGAGACGACGAGCTGGGGTAGCCCGACAACAGTTTGTCTGTCCCGGGAAAGGCCGTATGGGTCCGCAAGTGGCTCAGCAGCTCTTCGGACGTGGCGAAGCGCTTGTCGCACGGCCCGTTAGCCGACACCCAGTTGCAGATGTGGGGGAGTGGGTCGTTAGGCAGCATGAAGCCGTAGGGGTAGAGGGGGTGGCCGGCCAGGGAGGGTGGTGTGGCGCCCGCAGCCGCCGCAGCCGTTAGCGACGAGTGCACGCCGTGCAGCGGGTGCGTGGGGTACACCAGCGGGTATCCGGACTTGAGTGCCGCAGCGGCAGCGGCCGGATCGTGGGCGCACGACGCGCTGGCTGCCGCAGCCCCCGCCAGGTGGCTGGCGCAGTGGTAGCTGAGGCAGTACGGGTCCCGGCACAAGCTGGCTGTCATCACGGAAGGCGGTGACGCCCCGGCCAAGGGGCTCGAGCCAGCGGGCTTACTGCAGCCCAGAGAGCCCGCCGCGGCCGCCGCCAGCTGCGCCCCCACCAGGCTGCCCGGCTTGGTGGGGTCGAGCGCCACGCCATGGGGCAGGAACTGGGGCGGGTAGCCGGCGTAGGCCCCAGCCAGGCTGCCTGGGTAGGTCATGCCCGCGGGAGGCAGAGGGAACACTGTCTGGCCTGGTTTGTAGGGCGATACTGGAGCCACCAGCCCAGAGCCCAGCACCGAGGAGGAGGTGGGTGCGCTGGGGCCCGAGCCCGAGCTGGAGCCCGAGGAGCCGCCACAGTCCGAGCCTAGAGCTTTGCCCCCGGGGCCCCCATCTGGGTGCTGGTTCACGTCCACATTAATCCCGCCGCCGCAGCTAATCCGGCCGTGTGCCAGCCCCGTGGGTGCCCCTTCGGCCGAGGCGGCTCCGGAGCCCTTGCTGCCGCCGCCGCCGCCGCCCGCGTCGGGGTCCTTTTTGTCATCCTTGCCCTCCGGGCCGCCCCCGGCCGAAGGCAGCATGCTTCCTGGTGAGCAGGCCGAGGCGCTGGAGCTTGGGCTGCCTGTCCTGGGCGTGAATGGCTGGCAGGTGGCGCTCGGTACTCGGAATCCAGACTTCTCCGCTGAAACCCCCCCGCCGCCGCCGCCACCCCCGCCGCCACCGCCTCCTCCGCCGCCGCCTCCCGGCTCCTTCTTATCCGAGCCGGGTTTGGAGTACGGCTTGAAACTCGATTTGTCCTCCACGCCGATGTCACTCAGCTTGAGGGGCCCCGACTTTCCGTCCTTGTCACCCCCGGCGCCGCCGCCGGCACCGCCCGCGCCGCCCCCATTGGAAGCGACGGAGGAGAGTTTGGAAGAAGGCGAGGGGTCGGGCTTCCCGATCTGCGAACATGTTTGCGCCAACAGCGCCAGCGGGCTCTTCTTAGCATCAAGCTGCGGGGTCAGACGTTGGGGGTGGTGGGGGTGGGTACAAAAAGAAAGAAGGGGGAAATCCTTTAGAATCTTGGCTTCTAGGATTCAAACGCCCCTCCGCAGTGGCCCGCGAAGATCCTCCCAGCCCTGAGGCGCAATTCTAGGCGGCACCCCCGCTACACCTCTACACATACACTCGCCCTTGAGAAAGGTAGCAGCCCCCACCCCCCCGAACAGGATCTTTCATGTCCTTTCCAAGCGCTAAACTGTATTTTTTAAAAAACTCACAAAATATTTTGGTTTCTGATCCCTAGACCCAGAACTGTACACCCCCTTCTCCATCCCTAATTCTTTGGAGTAATGGCCCAGGCGATTTGCGCCTGACAGGCCGTGTACAAATATCAGCTTCTGGGGAACCGGAGGACTGCGCCTTTGGAATCATATTTCGAGCTCCCGTCCGTCTTCCGGGAAGAAAGTGAGTGGTTCTGGGTCGGGGAAGGGGCTTTAATATCAATGGGAGAAACAAGTTTTGGCTGCCTTGCCCCCTAACATTCACACCCCAGTCTACCTCCTCCCCCCTTTCTGCCCTAATTTTAAGGTGCGGGAGCACTATCCTCTCTCTCAATCCTGGAGCTGAATCACTTCGACACCCCCCTCCTCCTCTACCAACTTCCACCCCCAGATCCGGAGAGAAAGAAATTCCGTGAAGCGGCTGCCAGGGTGGTGGTCCCAATCCAGCATGATCCAGGGACAGGGTCCTTACCTCGATGGGGCTGACGGGAGTGGAAGGCAGGGGCTGTAGGTACTCGGGGTGCAAAATGTGGCCAGTCCGTGCGGTCAGCATCTTCAGCACCTTGATGGGAAGTCGGTTAGCCTGGCGGAGAGGGTCAGAGGGGGGCACCGCGTGCACAAAAGGCTTGGTGCTGCCGGCCGGGGACGAGCCTGGGCCGGGGCCGGAGCTATTTCCAGAGAGCGCGCTGGTCCAGGCAGGGTCCGCACTGCCGCCGCCGCCGCCGCTGTGCTTACTGCTTCTTAGGGCAGAAAGCGAGGGCGCTGTGCTCATGACCCACCCGCGCGCATGGGAGCAGCGGGGGGCGGGCTCCGGGCTGCGCGCTCGCCCGGGGAGCAGGAGCAGCAGGAGGAGGAGGAGGAGGAGGAGCTGGCGCAGCGGCCACGGGCGCCCAGCGCGCCTTCACGGCGCCTGGAGCCGGCAGCGAATAATCCTGGGTGGCCCGCAGCGGAGCCGTGGCCGAACGGGAGGAGCCGGCCCGACTGCGGGACTGACGGGTGGCTCGCCGTGTCCGCCTCGGGCTGTGCCCCTGCGCTGCGTACTCGCGGCCCGGCGCTGGCGCTGCTCTCGGCGGTGTGAGCCGCTGCCTGTCCAGCCGGGTCTCTGGCGAGGAAACTCACTTCAAAAGCAGCTGCACCGAGGGGGAGATTAAAGCCTTTGCCGCCTTCCAATCAAATGGGAGCCCGAGGTGATTGGAGGGTCAAGGGGATGTGACGCGTCCCGCGCCGCCGCCGCCGCCGCCGCCTGGACTCTCAGCGCTGGTTTTAATGGGCAGCTCCCTCACCGCCGCCTCCCCCCACTCCCCGCGGCTCGTCCCCTCCCTGGATTTCGCTCCGAGGGGGAGCTGGACGTTTATTCTACGTTTGCTATCTGCCGCCTCCCTCTTTTTTTCTCCTTGTCGTCCTTCCTTTTCCCAGCTCGAAAATAAACCGAAGCCTCCTTTTGCAAGAGGGTGCGTGTGAGGAACAGATTGAGGTGGTGTTCAAACGGAGCACTGGCAGGACTTTGGACGACAGTCGGACTGTCACCTCCAGGGGCGCACAGGGTGCCTGAACAGCAAATACGCTCTCCTCCTCAGTAGTTGAAATCTCTCGCGGCGCGGCCGCCAGGGTAAGGAAAGGTGGCGAGCCGGTGCTGGAGGAAGTCCGCCCGCCCGATTTGATTTCCCGTGATTTGGCGGCAGAGAAACCAGAAGCTAGGTGGGCAGCGGTGGCGGTTTTTCTCCGAGTTGTGCTCTGGGCTCCCCGCCCTTCCCGGCACGTGACGCCCGGGGACTCGCAGATTGGGGCTGGAGCGAGGGTCACATGTTTCCTCTGTTTCACACTCAGCCCCCACTTCTTACTCTCCCCTGCCACCCTCTCTTCTCCTGTCCCTCCTCCCACCCCGCCAAGTTCTTTGGGCATCTCCACCCCTCCATCAATTGTCAATGTTCCTCGACCGCAATCAATCAGTTATTTGTCAGCTCTTGTCAATCCGCCCGTGATTTATGTCAGCTTTTGTTGCTGATTACAAGGCGGGTGCGACTGGAAGGGAAAGAGAGAGGGAGAGAGAGACGGAGAGGAAGGAAGAGATCGAGGGGAGACCGGAGGAGGAGGAAAGAGGAGCAGCCTCCGGGGATGGGAGGGGGGTGGGGGTTCTAAGAAAAAGAATGAAAGGGGAAGGAGGCGCTCGGTGTCAAGAAAACGACTAGTGCGAGTCAAGTGCGCAGGTGCGGACAGGGTGCCGAGAGGGGTGCGCAGGCCTGGGGAGTGCGCCTCACCTCCCTCGAGGTCGGAGACAGAGATACACCCTTCCACCTTTGGGGACTTCGGTCCGTTGGGGCTGCGGAGTTCGGAGCGACTCTGGGTACCTGAGACAAGAGGCGAGGATGTCTAGCACGGGAGATATTTTTTTTTTCTTCCCTAGGATACCCCCTCGGGGGCATGTAGTGTGCGGACGCCAGGCTGCTCGCCTGCCGCGGACCCCAACCTCCGTAGTGCCCTGACCCCAAACTCAGAGACTATTTCCTAAAAGCCACATCTCCAACTAACCTTGAGTCCTAGAGGTCAATGATAGGGTATCCCCCTCAATTCTTTGAACCCCGTCTGATCGTGGCTAGGGCCGAGAGCCTTCGAAGAAGAGGCCTGACCGTGGGTGTATGGGGGAGACACATCTCAGGTCCACTCAGGCCCCTTCCCCAGTCCTCCCCCACTGCGCGCCGTCCCGGCACGCTTAGTAGCAGGGGTCACTACGGTCTGCTCGCTCGAATTTATTGGAACTCGTAGCTAGGACTGACCTGCGCTGGGAGAGCAGAGTGAAGGAGCCAAGGAGGGAGGGGGCGGCTGCCTGTGGGAACAAGGGCTCTTCCAGGGAAGCGGAGCGGGACTGTCGCGTTCCCCTCGATTTGCACCGTCACTCGGGCTGTTTGGAAGGAAGAGGGGAGGCGCTGTGGGTGTCTCCGTGTAACTGATTCTGGGTGCCCAAGTATGTATGTATCCCTGTGCCGCTGTGTGAGTCGTCAGGGCTTTGATAGCGTTTGGAGCGAGTTCGGGGGTCACCTTCAGAAAGTCGCAGAAATTGGAAGGGGGGCGACAGGAGGACACACCCCCTAACTCGGAAGGACTTGGAAGACTTTGAATCTCCCCTCCCCCACTTTTCCGCTCCGGCTCTTCTTTTGTTGTCAATCCTTTTGATAAATGGCGGGGTAGGGAGAGCTGGGAGCCAGGAGCCAGTCTGCACCCGCGCGGGGGGCGGAGGCCGGGCCTGGACACCGGTTTCCGCACGCGTTCCCCAGGCGCAGAGACCCGTACGCGCGGGGGTCGGGTTTCGGACCTGCCCTCGGAATGCTCGCCCTCTCCTCTTTAACCATCCCCTCTCCCCCATTTTTGTCTCTGTCTCCTACTCCGCACAGGTACCGGGAACTTTCCGGGGTGAGTTTTAGAATTTTCTTGCAGGCATTCATTTTCTGCGTTTTATCCCTTGATTATTCAGGTTGGTAAACTTCATGAGATGGTAACTTGACTAAAGATAATTTGGAGAAGAGGCGGGCGAGGCGGTGTGTATTTTGGGCTGCTGTTTGTTGGTGTGTGTATGTGTGCATGTGTGTAGGTGAAAGAACACACCTGCGTTCAAGGGGGTTTGGAGTGTCCTTGCGACAACAGAGGAAGGTGAGTTTGGGAGACGATGGCGAGGCCACAAGCAGGGTTGGGAAGGTTGTCTTGATCATATTCGGGGAGCAAGTCCCAGCCTGAACTGTCTCTGTAGGGCAGCATGTCTGTGAAGCTGCTTATATCCTGCGGGTGTGTTAGCGTCTGTCTGTGTCATTGAGTGCGCGGCTTTCGAGGTGTCGGCCCGGATCAGCTGTGGAGCTCCCAGTTCTGCGAGGTCAGCAGTGGGCCGCATGTCGCGACGGCCTCCCTGTGCGGCTCGGACACTGAATGCTGGGGGCGGTGGCCATAGCTAGAGGTGACCACGGACATACTCCCCACCCCTCACCCCCTCACCTCTGCCTCCACACCCAGTTCATTCGCTCTTCTGGAATTGAGTGCGGCAGTCCCAGCACTCAAAACGTGGGGTAACCATAGAGTAGTCCCTGTGTCCCGCGGAACGGGTGTGCCACGGTGTGGTGACACGTTTTCGCAGGCCTGCGTGGCGCTGCGCGCTTGTGGGTCTTGGTCAGCGTACACTCGCTCTTCTCCAAACCCAACTCGGAAGGTCCAAGCGCACGGGGGCGCCTGGAGGCCTGCGCGCACCCGGCTTTCGGGAGGTTCCAGCTTCCGAGCAAGCGCCTGTCGCCAGGGAGGCCAAATCCCCTAAGGCTGCGCGGGCCCTGGGGGTGGGGGTTATTAATTACTCCAAGCTAGGCCTAATGCCTCCAACCCCCAGCGGCGGTTGGCGTGGATGTCCTGTGGATTTTATTTGCACACAATGGAAATGATTTGTCTTCTCTAAAAAAGAGTGGGCATGGCAGATATTTGAGGAGGGGATGGGAGGAGAAAGGAGAGAGAGTTGAGGCAAAAAGTTTGAAAATGCCTTGAACTATTCACTGTCGAGATGGCTAATCAGTATTGAGGCCGGAGGGCAGGCGGGCCGCCTTTCACCGCCGCTTCCCTTTCATCTCGGGCTCGGCGGAGGCGCTCAATTAAAAGCCTATCAGTTTGTAAGTAAATCAACGCCTATCAGAGTTGTCACATCAAACAAAACGATTATTATTGCAGCCCGCCTCCCCTATTAATCTCCCTCGAAGATAATCCGCCTGACAGGTCAGGCCCGGCGAGCTGGAAAGCCTGGCCCAGAGCGCCCCAACAGTCCCGGACTGGCGCCCCCCTGGGGGCCTCCCCACCCGGGTGTCACCCCGCCTTGTGGGCCCCCTCGAGGGGGGAGAGAAAAGAGCACGCGGAGGCCGCTGGACCCAGGCCTGACCCTCCGGACTGGGAGCGGGACTCGGACTCACGGGGCTGATAGTAGACGATTCCGGGTGGCCCTTCCTCTCCTCGAGGCCGTGAAGGCGCCCGCCTTGCGGGAGCCACAGCCTGGTCTGTTCCCGAAGTCTCCCCATGGCCTGTTCTCTGCTTGCTTCCCCTGCCTCTCTTTTTCTTTTTCCTGTATACCTTCCCTTTTTGTTTCCTCTCCTGCTTCTTTCTTGTCCCCTTAATCTTTATCTTCTTCCCCCATTACTCTTCCTTTCTCCCTACCTACTTGCCAAGGAATATTTCCTATTCTCTCTCCCTCCTCCCGATACACCGTAAAGACTACTTGGGCGCAGTCACAGTCTCTTGAGAAGGGCATTCTCAGGGCCCGGGTTATTTCTTTGCGCCAGGGCTGCCTCAGGAGCGTGTGCAATTCTCAGGAACTCATGACAAAGTCCTTCTTAATTTTATCCCAAGCAGGGGCTCTCAAAAGCTCTATGCCTGTTTAAGAATTGGGTGCATTTGAAGGGGTGAAAGAGGGGAAAGAGAAGAGAGATACCAGGGCAGTGAGATGGGTGGATGGCTGCAAGTGCCCTATTGTGGAATTAGTATTTGGTCTTGGAATTTCGCTGCTGCAACGTCCCTGACCTCGCTGGCGGCATTGCCTGGGCATTGCAAATATGGGGAGGAGACCCAACAGGCATCTGGGCCTCAGCACTGAGTATGTGAATGGGCGCCTACATTTCATAAATATAAATGCACCCAGATAACTGCTTCTGTGGCCTCAAACTGGCACTCGACAGGCTGGGTGGCCTTGGTACCGCAGGGGCATGAAATCATGGCTTTCTTTCAGGTGGTCTGGGGCTTCGCCCTCTGGGACGCCTCAGAACGAAGCGCTACCTGCCCTTTTCCACACTCTTGCTTCAGAGAGGTTCAAATGGCCACTGCCCGAGCCTGTGAAACCAGGATTGAGAGGTGCTTGAAGTCTTTGAAGAAGGGCTTCCTGCGGGACCCCAGGCCGTGCTACCCTAAATACCAGGTCCAGAGCCCCAGGAAGGCGCCCTCAGCACTCTTGTATCTGGGAGGATCCCCCACCTCTACCAAGGCGCGGCAGTGCTGGCCGCCCTGGCCCAGCTTCTCCCAGCAGTCACATCAGGGTCTGAGGCCTCAGACATCGAATAGAGCTCACCTCAGGGTGCTGGGTGCTGGAAATGCAGGACCCGTAGCCCCCCACCCTGGGTTCCCCAAAGCCCCTCCATTTGTACGCACATGCCACAGCCAACCAGGTAGGAATATTTATTTCTATACCCATAAATATTGTAGCGATGTAATGGCTTAGTTAGCTGTGCGCCTGTTTTTCTTTAATGTATTTATTTCACCTCTGCCACGCCGCAGATATTTAAAGAGGTACACATACCGCACCCCTCAACGATGTGGAGCTCACTCTGGCTACAGGAAATATCTGCTGGGTGGTTATTTGGACATAAGTGCTATCTCGAGCCCAGATTACACCCAAGCAGGGGCTGTAAAAAGGCACTTGCTGTAGAATTTTTCCAACTTAACTATATGTGCACATACCGAGAATTTAATAATATTTTATATCCCTCTATAGATCTAAATATTCAGATGTTATGTTACATGCCCTTGAGCTGGAAGCGATCTTCCGTTCACACTGGACGTGGAGCTGTTTGTATAATTTTCATCTCTCTGCACTACACATGAATCTTGATCTAATAAATTCAACGTTGTCATTTTTAGAATCGACGGGATTTCTCCGGCTGCGGTTTGCACCGCCTGTATCCGAATAAATCCAGATCGCAGGAAATGGCAGGAAACAGCTCCCGGTTCTCACGCAGACGCATTGGCCCAGAGAGGGACACGAGGTAGCACCTAGTGCTCGGGAGGCTTCAGGTCCAGCCTCCGAAAGAGGCTGGACTATCACCGCCCTCGGGCCCAAAGGCCCCTCGCGGCCCCGCAGTGCCTGGAAGTTCCCCATTCTGCCGGTGCTACAGGAACCCGCAGGGCCAAGCCCGCCCGCGGCGAAAACTGAAAGCAAATTCCACCGCAGATGAAGCCCGAACTTTTCTTCAACTCAAGTTTGCAGCGGAGATTAGGTGGAGGCTTTGGAAGGACAGCGGGGAAAGAGAGGTGGTGCCATAGGTAGGCGAAGAGGGCACGGGGCGTGGAGCACGGCCCGAGGCGAAATGCTAGGCAAGGTGCCTCCTGTGCCTTCTTTCTCGCCAACTTCTCGGCCTGGTAGTATGAATAGTTTCCAAGGTGCCACAAATGCCTAGGATGTGTTTGGGGGTTTGCACCACGGAGGAGGTAGCTTTGTAAAAGTTGCGGGAAGAGCTTTGCCGAGAAGTGTCTGCCCAGCAGGGCGCAAGAAAGCTTAGAACCAGTTTGCCTTCCTCGGGGCGGAATGATCAGAACTCCGCCTCTGGGGAGCCCTCTGCTCAGTCCTCTCCCATCGCCTCGCAACCGCGCGCGTAAATAACCTCCTGCTGCCTGCATTGCAAACTTCCCGGCTCGGCGCCGCAGTTGGCGGGCGAGGCCCGGACTCAGAGCGGGTCCTCAAGGCCGCCCCTTGCAGGCTCAGCTCCAGCTCAAAAATGGGGCTTGCCCGGAGGTGAAAGGACTAATACAGTTCCCCCTCCCATGGGTTGCCCAGACCATCACCGCCTACCTCCCAACTCCCCCGGGTGAGACCTTTCTCCTGGGAGCGGCGGTCCTGAGGGGCTGGCTAGGGCGCAAAGTGCGCGCGGGCCGGCGAGGGGAGGGGCCCGTGGCCGCCCGTCTCTCCGCGGGGCCTGTCGCCGGGCCGGCCTCGGCGGGTGAGTGATGAGGGCAGAGAAGGGCGCCCATAAATCGCGGGTGTCAGGGCGAAAAACTCTCTTTATTGTCTGCGTGATGGATGGGCCCAGGGACGAGACACCAAATACTTCGTATCGCCTTTAAATGGGAACACATTTTCCGCGGCCATAATTCATGTTTTTTAAATAGAAAGTTTGAAATGTTGCCTATATTTCACCGGCCCTGACATATTTATGAATCGCTCCCTGCATGCAAATATCATTATTTAAAGCGCTGAGGAGAGCTCGGGGGAGGGGAGGAGGTGCGGCCCCCGGGGTGTGGGGGTGGTGAACCGGAGAAATGCGGCTGGAGGTGGGGGGGGCATCTCCCTAAAGTGAGGACAATGAGGCAAGGAGGACTGCCGCATCCGGAAGCCAGGCACACCGGGAGCTCCCCTCCCGCGCTGGGCCCCGCACAGCCGCTCCGGGAAGTTTGCGCGGCTTGGGGCCGAGGACTGCTCTTGCCTCCTGCCGGGAGACCAGGGGGCATCCTGTGTCCTTTTCCCAGGCCCCGATCCAAGCCGAAGCCACCTTTTCCAAGAAGGAAGTAAAAAAGTAAAATAAAAACAATTTAACAAACGCAAATAATAACAACCCAAAATGTTTCGTGTTCTTTGCCATTGCATCGATTTTTATTGATTTTTATTCTGCCAACCTGAGATGGGGTGCGCCCGGGCGGGGCGACCGTCAGACCCCAGTCACCGCAGGGAGTGGGTAGGAGGATAACCCTCCGGTGCCGCGGCCCGGACCCCCCGCCCACCACCCAACCAGCCACCTCTCACGCACAACGGAGCCTGCGCAAGACGAGGGGTCACGCCTGATCCGGCCCCAAAGACTGGGGGCCTCAGTCCCGCCCTCTCTACCTCCCCAGAGCAGGGCAGCGCCCCTGGGGTCGGCGTCCGCCCTTCCCGAGCTCCACTGTCACTACAAACGCTTTGGAAAAGAGCCGGACACGTGCCGTCAGCCTCTCTCTCGCCGGTCCAGCTTGGGATGCACCCACACCTGCGCCCTCGCTAGCTGTCTTTACCTGTGCAGTCCCCTGCGGCGCCTGCGGTCGCGCCTGTTACAGAGAAATGGGAGGGAGGGCGGCGGAGTGGGAGGGACAGAAAACACCACCCGAAACAGCCAGATACGCAGACCCGGGGCCTCCTCTTCGGACCTGGTGTCGGGGTCTTGGTCGAACTTCGTCTAGGAGGCGAACTCTGCTGAGGAGATCGGGCCGGGAGCCGGTCCGGGGGAACCGGCCTCCGAGGGTGGGGAGGGCCCGGCGGCACTTCCGCTGGGGGCGGGGCCTCGGGCTGGGCGGACCCCGCCCCTCCGCGGCGCGGGCCCACCCTCAGGTCGCTAGCTCCGCCCCCGCCGGCCGGGCCGCGGGATCTTCGGCCTCCGCGGGAGGCCTGGCAGGCGCCGCAGGTGTCCCAGGGGCCAGTGGGCAGCTCCTTTTCCTCAGCTGGGAGTTCTGTTTTAAGATTTAAATACAGGAACAGAAGCACATGTACACTAGCAACTGAAACCCAAACTCGCACGTCAGACTTTGTCAAACTCGGGTCTTTCGGCGGTCCTGAGACCTGCCGGGCCCAGGGGTCGCTAACATTCTCTGGGACCCTCGGACTGTAGGAAATACACATCCGTGCCCACGGGGCCCCACCTGTCTTTCAGGAAGAACAAAAACAAAACTTAACATTTTTCAAGCGTTCGCTTTGTGACAGATCTAAGAACTGTGTAAGAATCATGTCCTCACAGCAACTCTCTGAGGTAAGTACCATAAATGCCCTGTTGTATAGATAAAGAAATTGAAGCGCGGAGAGGAGAAATTGGCCTTCCCTCACTCCCAGCTCATCCATATTTTGGTCCCTTCTTTTCCTCAGATCCCAGCAGCCCAACCTGGGCGTTCACTTACCTTACAGGGGAGTGTCTGAGGCCAGTTACCGGCCTCCACTCGCAGCCGAGGCCTTGCTCCGCGGGAGGCGGAGCTGCACGGCGGAGGAGAAAGGCAAACGTGGGATGGACTCAACTCAGCTCCTGGGCAGCTCCCAGCCTGATGGGGAACCTGGCCCTAAGAGCATCTTCCCGTTGTTTCTCTGTGCTTTCTGCCAAAGCCTGAGTGATCTTTAAAAAAAAAAAAAAAGCGAATCAGACCATGCTTCTCTTCTGCTTAACAGCTTCTGGGTTCTCATTGTTCATAGGATCGCGTTGAGCCCATGGCTGGCAGATCTCTGAGGCCTCATTGGCCTCAGCTTGCTTTGCTGCCTTTGTCTCCTACGCCCCCGTACCCTGAGCTCCTGCTACCAATGGCTGCCTTTCTGTTCCTCAGATGAGCCCGGCTACTTCCCACCAAAGGACCTGGCTAATGCTTTTCCTTCTATCTGTGATGACCTCCTGTCCTTCTCTTCACCTGGCTCATCGCTCCTCTTTCTTCAGGTCTCAGCTTACACACCACTCCCTTGCACCTTCCTACCTGGCACTGGGTCAGAACTCCTGTAACCCTCTCGTAGAACATGTGCCACTCTGGGGTTTCCTGTAGAGAGTCTATCCCCTTGACCAGATGATAACTTGGAGGGGTCAGGGACTGGGGCTATTCCTTCAAGGAATTAATGAAGAAAACAGCATTTGTGTATACTGTCAACTGTACTGAACGAATGAATAACTTTTGGGGTTCACTCCACTTTGGGGGCCATCATTAATTATTCTCTATGGTTTCGCATCCTAAGACGTTTTCAATTTAATAAGGGAAATAATACAAACCTCATGAAAAAAGATTATTTTGAGTCTCTATATTGTAAATATTATATAAGTAAATGCTCAAGGAAGTTGGAGAAGAGAAATATCTATGGTTTTCCAGCCAGGTATTTAGATTTTCGAAGTGCAAGATGTGCTGATTGACACAGTATAATGGAAAAACACTCCCTTGTGACCACTCCTCCCACCATTCAGACATCTTTGTCCCAAGGCTGTAATCCAGGTCCCCTCTCCTCTTCCTCACTTCATGTATTATTACTATCATAGTTAAGTTCTTTATTAACTTCTAACTGAGCTGCTGCTGAAAGAACCTTTTAATTGATCTGTACATCTTCCGCCTCTCTTTCCTCTAACCCATTATACACACTCGTGCTAGGTTAGTTTTCTCGATCACATCATTCCTTTGCTCAGAAATCTTTAGTGGCTCCCTATTGTTACATGTAACACTTGACTCTCCATAATCGAGTTCTAAACTACTTTTTAAAGGCTTTAAGTTGTATCCCAAAATTATGAAAGAAAAATCAACTTCAACCTGCAAGGCACTCAAAGCTATATAAAGAAAAACATTATGATCTCACCCATCTCTTCTCCAATTTTTCACCCAGTCTCCTGATACACTGTGTTAACAGCCTCAGATGGAAATTCTATCCCTTTTCCTATGTTCACCATGCTCATACAGACTACACTCACATAATACGTTGTTGTTTATTTATGCAAAAATGATTAGAGTCCTAGTGTTTTTTACTTTTGTCTGCCTATCATCTGCAGGTCCTGCTTCCAACTACAGAAGCTGAAGGGGCCATCTCCTCTTTCTCCCTGCCCCTGGCAGCTGAGGTTCCACCAATGGGAATTTTTTACTCTCAAGAGGTGAGCAGAAGATTGGAGTAGGTTAGAAATCCTCAGCAGCAGATACTGTGAGAGCCCACTAGGGGTACTGAGCCCAAATCAATAGCACTGACTGTATCTGTATAGGGGAGGCAGAGTGGAGAGGACAGTTGCTACCATGTCCGGTGTGATAATGACGGCCACTCAGACAGTGGTCTAACCAGATTGTTGCAGTAACATGACCAACTACATTTTCTATTTCCCAGGCACTCAGTTCCTGTTCCTTTGCCAAGTCTGTCTTCTGTCTTCTTACTGATTTTCTGAGCTTCCTGAAATCCTTCTGATTCCTATTCTGCTTAAATTTGCCAGAGCCAGGTTCTTTCATTCACAGCCAAGAATATAAATTCGTTTGCCATAGCATGGCTCTTTGGGGTAGCTTCTAAACAGATCTGATGGTGATTATATCTTAGTTGGCCTTCTATGATGGATACTGGTGGGGATCCCTGGCTGAACACCTCCAACCCAGCCATGCAATGATTTCAAGGAAAAAAAAATGGTAAATTTAGGGAAGAGAATAAGTCATGTCAGAATTGAGTGAGAGAACATACTTAATAATTTTCAGATTATTTCATTAAATGCTTACTGTGTCTTGGACACTATTTTAGGTAACTTCACATTATTACCTTATTTGCTTCTTACCAAAACCCAGTGAGAAAAGAATTATTATCCCCATCTGGTTCAAGAATGTACAGAATTTCTCCCCTTTACTTTGAACCCTCTCACCCCATAAGCCTCAATGACACTCAATATGTCTGATTAAGGTTTCTAAGGTATCAAAGGGCACTGTCAAGATCAACCACCTTAGGTGACAATCAACTCTGATTCTTCTCAGCAGAGCTTAAGAGCTTAAGTGCCTGGTACTTTGGAGTGCTCAGAAGATGTTTGTGGAATGCAATCAGTGGGACAGGAACACCCCTGGGCTCCATTTCCTTGGGAAGATGGTGGTTTGAGACATTTGAGTTCTTGTGTATGAGTACCATTAAGGAAGAGGTAGCAGTTTTTCCTTCCACACTGCACTGCACTCTCCTCAACGCTTGACTTTCGTCAAGTGCTTCAGGTGTCTGGGCTCAGTGTTTATTCTTCTTTTCTCCTTCTTTTTCTATCTCTATTTCTACTTCTTCCCTTCCCCCACCCCTTTCCAAAGCAGTGACTAATTAAGGGCATGAATGATATCACCCTGCTTATATTTCCTGCAGAATCTACCACATACATGAATAATATTCAATAAATATTTGTTACATGAATCGATTTTCAAGGATTTTTCTTTCTCAGTCCACACCTTTGCTACTGAATCTTTTGTCCCCTCAGGGACTCTTTCTACCACACTGTTCTTTTTACACATTTTCATATTTGCCAAAGACCATGTCCTTACTCTCTTTCTTTGGAAGAAACGGGGGCCTTTTTGGAGGAGGGGGTGTGGGGAGAGAAGTAGCAGCTGTGGTCTGAGGAACTGGCTGTGAGGGGAGAGGGTCTGCCATCCTGGGAAGCTGGAGGGTTTGGGGAGAGTCTGGTGAGGATCAGCCCTGTCAGAGAATCAGCATCATCTTCAACCTCTTTCCCCTTTAATGACAGTTAGCCATCAGGTTGTGTAGATTGATTCTCCCTTTGACATGGGAGCTTTGCAAGCACTCACGGAATGAATGAATGAGCTACTTCCTGCAGAACCAAAATGTGAAAGGAGTTAGTAAACATGCCAAAATGAGGCCAGAGGCCAAGGGAACCAAATGTAGATTGGCCCAAAATGTCACAAAGATAAAAGAGTACAGGAACAAAAGCTTTCTACGAAAGATGGCTTCTACCCCCAGGTGTTTCTCTCTAGCTTCTGCCCTCCTCACGTCCACCTAAAAGCCTCCTGAGGTTTCTTCTCCTGACCTCACTTCCCAAACGCTGTTTTGATTGAACCCTGCATTGCCACGAACCTTTATGGGCAACCTATTTCCTGCCAAAAAATGTTTCACATGCCTTAGCTCCTCTCCTTCAATCTTCTTACCATCAAAGCTTACTTTTCACTGGCCCTGAAGATTAGCCATCCAGCGAGGCTAGAATCTTTCCCCTTGTACCAACACACCCTCCTCAGTCTCATCTTTGCTTCTGAGGTTCCATCTTGTACTACCCAGCTCGGGGCTCAGCCTCCCCTCCCCTACCTCCTCCAGAGTGGATCATAGTGCTTCTGCTGGGTTTTGCTCTGGCGTGCAACTACTTGGTTCCAAAGAGCAGTAATCCTACATTTCTTAGATGTGTGACTTGGAGCAATGCTCTCCTTGAAGTTTCAGTTTCTTCCTGTGTAAAATATATATAATGATGGTACCTACCTGATAGGTCAATGGGTAAACTGAATGAAACAATGCATGTGTCTAGCACATAGAAAGTGTTCAAAGTGGTTATTATTATTATTATTATTATTATTATTATTCCTCCATGTGTCCTTTCTTACTTCTGAATCCCTGGAGTCCTGCTGTCTGTGTCTCTTATCTGGCACTTAATTGTTTACTAATTGATGGTATCTTTGTTAACTATTTAAAATTACATTAACTTCTTGTTTGTGTGTGTGTGTTCAACTTCCCAATTAGATTGTAAGCTTCTTCAGGCCTGAACCAGAATAGCAGAAGATTAAGTAAAAAAAAAAAAAGCATGAATAAACACTTATTAAAATGAGTGATAAACCATTCAGTTTCTGTATAGTCCTTTCACAACCATGATTTCATTTCCATTAATCCCCACAACAATCCTATAAGGCATGTTACTCCCATTTTACAGATGAGGGAACTGAAGTTTATAGAGAGGAAGTCATTTACCCAAATTCTAAAGGTCAGGGCTCTTTCCTACCTCACAACAGCCTTTAGCTCTCAGAAGTTCTGGCAGCCACTCCCTCTCCTACTTAATACCCAAACACACCTTCTCTGCTAGCCCAGTTTAGCATCCATGCTAGCTCTAACATTCCTTCCATGTGCCCATGGGGAGAGATGCTAGAGATATATCATTAGATGAAAAGATCTGGTTATAAAAGAGCAGGAACATGCACATACAATTAATACATGTTATCTAGAAAGCAGGATGCAAGGGTTCTATGTGACCAACCACTGGCCATTTTAGTGGGTGGGGTAGTGGGTAATTTTAATTTTCGTCTTGTTCACCTGTAGTTTTTACTGCAAACATTTATTACCTTTATAAATAGAGAAAAATACAAGTTTTATTTGTTTGCTTATTTAACAGAGCAAACAATGCAGTGCTTCCAGAACTCTTTTCTTACTTGCCCCTCCCAGTTCCCTTTTACCAGAAAATGCTGCCAATAGAGTCAACTCAACCTCTTCCCTCTCCTTCTTCACCTCTGGGCTCCGAGCCAGGTGGGCAGAATCCCATCCTTGGCACTTATTAGTCACAGGTTTGAAGTGCAGGGGAGGGGTGGGGAGGGAGAAGTGATTTGTGTGGGGTGGGAATTTGGGGATTCTTTTATCCCCTGCATCTCAAAGGCTGACAGGTTCTTGAGGGGTGGAAATGACTGGTAATTAGTGAACCTTCTCTAAAGCACACACTAAAGACACACTTCACAGTCTCTGTGACCTCTGCAGCCCGGTGAGGCTTTGTTATGTAGATGTTCTTAATTGGATGAGTCACTTACTGCAAACAGCTTTGGGAGAGCACACTGTGTTTCAGGGGAGGCTTCCTATCAGGGGTTCTAACTCAGGGGTTGGGCTGGCAGCAATGACCTCTAAGTAACTCCACCCCCTTCCATATAAGTGAGAAGTGGTCCTCACAACTGGGAGTCAGCAGAGTGAGGTTTTAGGGGGAATGTTCAGCTATAGCCTTCATCTTCCTCCTTCCTCTCTCCCTTTCTCTTTCACAGCTTATAGATCACTGATTCTGGTTAAGGATGGGGATATTTTGAGATATAAACTGGGTTTTCTACATTTTAGGATCTGACCAACTAGTTGGAAAGTTAGGCACAGGTATAAGTGTACATAGCATTATCAAATAGTGGGCGTTAATGGCAGGCATACAGGGGGGGCTCTTCAGTGATGTTTCAGACCCTGGGCAATCACCCAGGGCTGGAGCATTGGAGAAAGCTTGTCAACAAAGGTGGACAGCACTTGGAAAGGGTTATGGGGACAGGGATTCCCAAGAGGAAGAGACTATGAACAAAGGTATCACCTGTCAGGTCACCGTGACACCCAAAGTCATGGCCTCCCACACACTGAGCTTTGCTCACCCATCAGATGCACAGGGTGCAGTGTGGGAATGAGTCACTAGGTGCTCAAATGACGTGACTTACATCATCACATGCTGCTATTGGCTCTAGAGTGTCCCCGCTCCTCCCTCCAGAGGTGGGCACAATGCTTGTAGACTTTTTAATTGCATCGTCAACCCCCTCCTTATTTTGGTGAATGGGGAACCATATTGGCTCTTCCCTTCTCTGGACCCAAACAGACACCAAGTCCTGGCAATTATTCCACAGTCTCTTTGTAATTTCTCCCTTCAGGCCCTCACCGCCCTTTGTGTGGGTCCAGTGTACGTTCAGAGCCTGTGGGGACATTTTCCTGACCCTACTCATCTCTCTTCCTAATGCGTCCTCCCCACAACTGTCAGACCAATTGCTCTAAAACAAATGTTTAATAACCACTAACTTTTACTGTACTTGAGGTGAGACCTCCATATCTCTTTATGATCTGGTCGCTGCCTGTCTTTTTTGCACTCTCCCCATCTTCAAAGCCACCAATGACCTCTATGTTGGTAAATCCAATGGTGAATTCTCTGAACTCAATTTACTTGACCTTAAGTAGCACTGGACAGTCAATCATTCTTTCTTCCTTTCTTTCTTTAACATATTATTTATGAATCTTTTTGTACTTCAAAAAAATTAAAGGACAAGATAATAAATCCCCAATTCCCTTCACCTAGACTTGTCAGATAACATGTTACCATATTGGTATTCTCTCTCTCTCTCTCTCTCTCTCTCTGCCTCTCTCACACGCACACACTTTTTT